TGTCTGTGTACGCGCATGTGAGCCGGGTGCGGCGAGGCTCATGATGTATGTAGTGCGGCGTGTGATGTGTGGGACGCCTGGTCGCCTCGGGACGCCCGACGGGAGCATCCCCTTACACCCCCTGCGCCCCCTCACCTCCCCTCCACCCACTCCCCTCCCCCTCACCGCTGCAGGATACTTTTACGCGGACAGAGAGAGAATTACCCCCTCCCCTCTTGTCCTCGTCCTTCCCTTCACCGCGGTCGCAGCTAATAGAGAGGAGTAGTTATGGAGCAGATTAAAAGGCCGCTCATTTATGGATCACCCAGAAAGTGCGTTCGCCATGCTCCGCTTCGGATCTGTCAAGTTCCGCCTATGCAAACTCTCGTAGCGCCTGGTGAGTAGGCAACATCTTGTCTGCGGCGCGTGCGTGTACTGCGGGGCGGCCTACCCTGAGTCTCACAGGCGCCGAGCTCCCGTGACTTGTCTAATGAATCCGAGGAAAAACGAACGTACTTTCTAGACGATCCCTCATGGGGTCCTATAAGGTAGAAGGCAGAGGATGCAGTTTTATAAATAAAGCACCAACCAGCTCTTCCATACGAGGTAAAACCAATTTGTAATCGGATACCCCTCCCCTGGCGCTGCGTCCGTCCGAGGGGGTGGATTGGCCCCGGGTAGTTAGTTACACAACGACGGGAGTGGTGGGGTCACTTGGCGCTGACGGCAGCAGCAGCAGCCGCCTCCGTCATAAGTACAAATGTCATCGAGCAGCCTAAATAAGGCCGAGCCACACCCCCTGCCCTTCGACGCCAACGGTAACGTAACCATGGGGGCATAACGTAAGACACGCAGCGTGCTGAAGCCCCCCCCCCCTTCCCCCGTCTCCCCTGCCGACCCCGCCTCACCCCTCGCGACGTCTGCCACCAGGCTACGGTGGTTGGTGGTCCACGGCGTTGGCGTTTCGCAGAAATGATTGTTTGTTGTTGTCGATGTTGCCGGAGTTGGCGTCGAACGTTACGCGCCAACACGTTACGGCTTCCAGTCTTCCATTAGCGTCGGTACAAGGTGAAGGGGGAGTGGATGGAAATTAAAATTAAATTGGCCTCTGCCCTCTGCCCTCTGGGCGAAAAATCCCCCTCGCGCGCTTTCCCTCCGCGGGGGACAAACTTTAAAGTTTATCCGAGTTTCCCGTGGCGCCCTGCCAAAACAGGTTGTGCATGGCTCACCGTAGGAAGCATACCAAAGTTTGGCATGACGTAAGTTTCATGAAATACGGTATAGCATACTCGGCCACGGGTTCTGGGGCTACGATGCGGTTGTATGAGCGTCGACAACGGGGATATGCAGTTTGTTCAGACGGCCAAGACTCAACACGTTAAAAATGAATAAATTAAGAATCACTTTACTCTTCAGTGTTCTGTGTGCGAAATGATAGTGAGCAGTAGATGGGGCCGCGTTACCAACCAAATATGTGTGAGTCTGCTGCAAGCCAAACCATTGTCTGGGCGACCGCCCGACCTCTCAAGCGCGGCGGGCGGCCGGCATCGCGCGCGCGGCGCGCGCGAATCCGCTCAGCTCAATTGGAGAGCCAATCAAATCGGACCGATACCGAAGAAAGCGTCTGCTCTAGTTGTCGGGCGTCCCCACACCATTCCAGCTTCCCCAGTGAGAAGAATATTGTGACCTGCTTTGGAAGTTGAGTGGGAAGCTATCGCACGACACAGTCTCACCGTCACAAATTTCGGCTTCATTTGAAAAGGATGAACAGGGTGAAAATAGAAATCGGTGGATGTGAATAATGCCAATAACCATAATAAAGAAACAGCAAGAAGGAAACCAAAATAAAACTTACACGAGAGCGACGTTCTGCAGCGTGGGGCGGGTGCGGCCCGTGGCCCTGGCACCTGTTGAGTCCATGGGTAGTGCTGCTAGCGCTCCACTATTACGCCCACGCCCGCCGAGACGTGCCGTAGAACTTCCACCGCAGCCAGGAGCGCGCATCAGGCCCCACGAGCAGCATGGCTGGTGGCGGCGTCCAGTTCCCTTCGGAGGACGGCGTCGGCGACCGGCCGGCGTCGTAAGGGTGCTGGTGCACGCGGTGCGCAGGACGCGGTGCGTGCGGAGGACGCGGAGCGGGGGGCTGGCGCCGGCTGACGCACGGCGCTGGCGGGGTGGCGGGTGCCGTGCTGGAGGGAGGAGCGCTGGCGGCAGACTGAGCCGAGAAGGAGAGACAGTCGAGCAACAGGGCCCGCGTACCCCGCGCCGACCCCGCCGCTATGCGGGCCGCTGCCGGCGAGAGGGGGTGGGAGGATACTGCCGTCGCATGGCGAATTTGGCATCCCAAGTATTCTTTTTTATGGTGGGTTGTTACCTGGAGACGTAGATGTAGGGTGACATGTTTTTCCCCTTCCGTATGCCCAGTTCGCGAGATGGCGGTGGTCGCGGGCCGCATGCGCGGAGGGTGAGTTCAGGGTCTTTCTTTTGGAAAATGTAAATCTCGTTTAGAGGCCATATAGAATACTCTTTTTTTCTGTGTCGTGGATAAGCGAATCTCTCGTGACAAAAAGACTTAGGGATTCAAAGAACAAAAACCGATTAAAAACAATAACATTTAATTTAGGAGGATACAAAAACAAAGCGCAGCGCGCTCACTTCATGCCGTACTTGTCGGCAAGCTCCTTGGCCTTGGCGATGTAGGCCTTCTTGGCGTCCTCCTGAGCGGTGCCCTTCTTGGCGTTCCAGGCGTCCCACTTGGCCTTCCCCTTCAGGTCCAGCATGCCGGGACGAGCTGCAAACAAACGAAGACGTGGATGAGCTGTCTGAGTTGATGGTACAGAGCGCACCAGGAAGTATGCCCCAAAACCTGCCCCCCTGTCGGCTCCCGAGTATGCAATAAAGGGTTGCGGATGGAGGGAGGGAGGGACGGGGTGTATATTAACCTCGGAGATGTTTTCTCGAATTCTTTCAAGCTCCAACTCCACTACCCACTCCTCCCCCTCCTCTCCCCGCAACTGGCAGCAGCGCTACGCAACGCAGTGTAGGATGAAACGTCTGAAAGGTAAAGTTCTCTGGTAAAGTTATTTCCAGATTCGAGAGCTCAGCTTGGAATCAGATATCTTGGGTGAAGTGAAAGAGGAAAAGGGGCCGGAGGAGGGGGGGGGCGATCCGCGAGATAGCGAGTGCGGACGTCATACCAGTATCAGCACGAGGACAACTTTTCACCGCCGCG